CTACCTGCAGGTGTAATTGGATTCAGAAAAAGGCTAACTTAAAGCAGGACCAGGTCTGACATGGAAAATCTTCACACGGTAACAAGAATCAGTTTGGTTTGTTCGCTGTCATTTCTCATTACTGTCTTTGTCAGGAGAACGGATTCGTGTTGTGCCATTTTCTGTTCTTGTTACAATCTTTGTCACATGAATAAGATATCAGGATGTTAATGCCTGGCGTACAGCCTTCCGTGGCTGATGATACTGTACAAGACTGCGCTGACCTTTGCAGTATTACCTATTCTGATTGGTTGTTCATGACACCTCTTTCCCACGAGTTAATAAGGCTGTAAAAAGGGAGAGAACGGAAATGGCCAGCCAGTCAAATTACAGAATATTGAAAAGGTCAGAGCAGTGCAGCACGGAGGGAAAAAAATTACGGAATATATGGTGCATTAAAATTCTTGTGACAATGATTAGAACAAGAATGGGAAAGCAAACCCATTTATGTATTTCAGTCTAGAGAGCCCAACAAGATGATATTCCCGGGATACACATCATTTACGCATCCCTGACTCATACATGGGAAAATATCTACTTATGCTGATTTTTGCCTGAAAAATAATAGTATCTGTCCTAATGTTCAATCATTGAGAATGCTAACAGTAAGGTTTTCAGTCTTCAAAGTGGGCATTGATGTTAACATTTTAGTATGGCTTCCTGTTTGAAGCTAAAGGGAAAAGGGTTCTTGTGAGTGAAATCCACAGGACAGAAGGTTTATTTTGGTTGTTTCTTCATTAAACACTTGTTTATTCACTATAAAATAGAAAAGTAGGAATGCATGAATTAACCTTTTAGAAAATTCTTTAGAATGTGGAATACCCTGAAACACTTTCTAGTTTATTTAAAAATTTTAAATGAGCTTGCCTGGTGTGGCATGGCTCAATGGTTGAGCATCAACCCATGAACGGGAGGTCACAGTTTAATTCCCAGTAAGGCATATGTCCAGGTTGCAGGCTCAATCCCCAGTAGGGGGCGGGCAGGAGGCAGACAATCAATGATCCGCTGTCACCAATGTTTCTATCTCTCTCTCCCTCTCTCTTCCTCTCTGAAATCAATAAAAAATATATTTTTTAAAAGGGTTGGAAGAGAGGAACTCCATCGAAGATGCCCAGCTCCTGGGGGCAGGGTGATGGAGAGCTGTGGACCAAGAACACACAAGCTTAAACAGGCCTGCACCATCCACTTATACTCACAAATAGGGTCCACGCTGAGGCCCACCAGACAGGAAGGCTCACCTGCGATAGGGAATGCTTATCGCTTCAGCCTTTCCAGCCTGATTCTTGAGGCTGAACCAAAGGGACTGCATTTTCCAGCCCACTGAAGACACAGTAGTTGCAGTGAAAAGTAACAAAGCACACCCTCTATAGAGCAGGAATTAGAGGACTTCAGTTGTAAGAATTTTCCCCAATACCTAGGGGCCCACAATGGTCAAGTTCAAAGGAAGAAAGAGGGCAGGGAGAATGAAGCGAAAGAAAAGCCAAAATTGTGGATCCTGATTTGTTTGTTTTAGTCTCTAGGTTCTATAACGGGGATTCATAAGTTTACTTTAAAACATCTCAATAGTGTTAATTTATCTTTATTGTTGAAAGCATTACAAATGTCCCTCCCCCCTTCCCCCCCGTTGGCCCCCTCCACGCCACTCGCTCCCCCGCTCCTTCACTGCCCTATTGTCTGTGTCCGTGGACAGTGCATCTATGCATACAAGTTCTTTGGTTGATCTCTCCCCGCGCCCCATGCACCCTTCCCTCTGAAATACTTCAGTCTGTTGCATGCTTCATGTCTCTGGTTGGTTAGTTTACTTTGTTCATTAGATCCCACATATGAGTGAGATCATGTGATGCTTGTCTTTCTCTGTCTGGCCTGTTTCACTTGGCATAATACTCGGTTTCGGTTTTGAATCTGGCAATGTGAGCTTCCTGGACAGTTGAAATCCGGTCAGTGGCTCCAGGTCTGTGAATTGAGCTGCATGTGGCACTCGCTCAGCTGTGTGGCTCCCGGATATGTACAAGTTCTTTTTTGAGCTGAACAAAATGGTTTATGTAATTGCATACTTCTCATAATTATTGAGTAATTACATACTTCTTATAATTACTGAGTAATCATTGTTCTATAACTAGAACTTAATGTTACAACTAATTGTATAATTACCACGTATTAATGTTATCTGGGAAACTTAGAATAAAGTGGTACTTAATATATTTTCCCTTGCTCTGCCATTTCCAAAGCTAGTAATAGTGTTTGTTTTACAGCTAGAAATTCGCTTCAAAACTCAACAAAATGCAAGGGGGGGGTGAAATATATTTATTTAATGTATTTATTCATTAATTTTACATTTGCACCTAGCTCAAAATTTGTAAAATTGTATTATCTTGGCTTAATTTCAGAATTTTCATTATTGGTTTGAAATTTTCAATCCTTTGAAAGATGTACACAGTTCTACCCTTCAGAGGCAATCGGGCTTCTGCCTGGGTCTTATGGGATAAGCTGGCCTTTTTGATATTTTATAACCGGGCATGTGACAACAGCAGTAGTTTGGGCTGTAACAGAAAAGGCTCCCACAGAACTAGACATTATGGGAACTTAAGGCGGCCTTTGGATGTGGCTCATTGTCTAAGTCATTTTCTTAGACAAAGCTTAGAAGTGATGCACATTTAATCTTAACCAGGTCTCTGGAATGCCGGAACTGTCTGATGCATTTTGAGCATCCTATATAATAAAAGGGTAATATGCAAATTGACCAAATGGCTGAACGACTGGAAAGAACACGGCCCCTCGCCCTGGCCCCTCGCCCAGGGGGCAGGCCAGCTGAACCCCACCAATGCATGAATTCGTGCACCAGGCCTCTAGGCCTATATAATAAAACTCTAATATGCAAATAGCAGAACAGTCGGTCGCTATGATGTGCACTGACCACCAGGGGGCAGTTTACTGCATTGAGCGTCTGCCCCCCACCCTAGAGGGAGGCGACTGGCAGCAGCGGCGGGGCAATTGGGGGGCGGGGATGACTGGCAAGTGGGTGGGGCTGGCCAGCTGGGGCCGCCAATCGCCCCACCCACCAGTCACCCCACAGATCGGCCCTGATCACTGGCCAGTCCTAGGGACCTTACCCTATATATTGGGAACAGTCTCTTAGATTTAAAAAAATAAAACCTGGCAAGGCTACTCTAACACTAAAAAAACAGGATGATGCAGCGATAACATGCACATTTTGTGGTCAGCCCTGATTCTAACACTTATAACTGTGTGACAAATCCAATTATTTAACTTCTCTCTGCTTCAGTTTTTTCACCCATAAGATGGGGAAAATGGTACTACTGCCTCAGAAGGATCATGTTATGAACTACTTTTTATAATCAGGACAAAATAATGTAGCTGCCCTTATAGCAGCAAGATGTCTTTCACCTGTATGAAAAGTATGGTCACTGGTGCATGCAGCATCCCAGATTGCGAGAGGGATGTCCCACTGCCGGCAGTAGGGTGCAGGCCAGGCTGAGGGACACCCTCCCCTCCCCCAGTGCACGAGTTTTGTGCACCGGGCCTCTGGTATTATAATCACCTAGCAGAGTCTCCTCCCTGCATGCAATCGGAGCTCAGTCATCTTTGGCCAAAGCAAGTGGACTAGTTGTGAGAAACCTATGGGGACTAATAATATAGCATGATTTGGAAGTGTCTATTTAGAGCGTCCTGATGTTATCAAAGGCTGCCTGGCAGGTTTCAGGACTTCCTGCTAATGTATGTTGTGCATATGTAGCTGGGAATTGTCTATTTCCATATTGGGAAATTAAAAGCATTGCCAAGCTGTGAATATGTTTTCATCCTGTTCCACTAAAAACGAATAGGAATTATTTCCATGTTTTAGCCCATCGGTACCGTATATTCTCTTTGGGGAATATTGAAGGTAAATATAATAAGCAATTTGGCAAAGGAAGAAGGTTCTTCGTAGTAAATATTACTGTTCTTAATGGTTCTTTGTTGTGTGTGTTGTGTGTTTAAGAGTGATTATAACTAAATTTTACTGAAATTAAGCAATCTCTAGAAAAATTGGCCTCTAGTGAACTTCTCAGGAAAGCACGCAGCGTTGAAAGTGAAATAAATGTTCCAGTGCAGTTTTAGGTCTGAGTTCTCACTCCTCTTAACCTTGAGCATCACCCAGCTGCATAGGCGAGAAGATGAAACACTGTGTCAGACAGCAGGACAGCCCTACGTCTCAGACATGCTGAGATTTGAGGATGGGTCTGCCGAGGGCTCGGAAGGAAGGGTGGTGGTGGGACCCGGGGAGGACGCATCAGGACGCATTCGATGCAGCCAGGCAGCCCCGCGTTCTCAGGGAGCTGAGAAATGGATCCCCAGATCAAAGTGGACACAGATGACTTCCCTTCCCCAGCTGCTTCTCAGGATGTTCTGACCGGTTGTGATTTAAACAGGCATTGGATGGAAAGCCGTTGACCAGCCTGTCAAGCAAAATGAGCAGAAGTGGCCCCCGCTGTTGATAAATACCATTTCTTACATACATTTGACTGCGCTACTCATATCCAGAACTCTTCTATTTGGGAGAAAACGAGTGATTTCCTCCCAGTCTGTGCATCACAGAAAATTCAACTATTTGAGAAACCCTGAAACAAGTTGTAAATGATTCATCAATTGATCAGTTTAGATGTCAGCGCAGGATATTTACTGTTATGCATGATAATTGTGACGTGGCTTTCCACTATCTTAGAGTGTCAGTCCAGTTACTTTAATCCCTGTGATGAGTGAATTAGAAAACATAATGTTATCTCAGGTAACATTTTTTTTTCATAACAGGAAAATGAATAAAGGCACATGGGATGCCTCTTACGGTGGTGACAGTATAGTTCCGTTTAGTATTGGATATTTAGGAACCCCAGAAAATACTTAAATAATAGCAGGAGAGAATCCTTAGATACATACTCATTTTAATACGTTTCCTTTTTATTCAGCAGCTAATAACTACACTCTTCTGAATGGCACACGCCTCGTGCACCGTGGTGAAGAGACCAACCTGTGGGTGCCCGTCGACGGGCTGGTTCCTTTTACTAATTATACGGTGGAAGTGAATGCTTCAAACACCAGGGGCAGCCTGACAAGTGAGCCTACAGCGATTGTGATGCCCCCGGGGGGTAAGTCCATGAACAACCTTGACTGTCTGGACGTGTGTAAGTCTCCACTGATCACCTTGTCTACTGTGAGATTTTGTTTTCTTTTAGAACTAGGGGCTTACTGGTATTACTGATTGGTTTATTGGTGGTGGTTTTGTTTTATCGAGACCCTAATATTGATATTATTTTATTGTTTTGTTGAGACTGCTTTCATCTCACACCGTGTGTGTGTGTGTGTATGTGTAGGTTCACACACACCCCCACACATATATCTCTTGCTCTATACATGTTTAAAAGATTGGGAAATTTTTTTTGGTTTGAGACTTTATTTCTATTCAAAATTTATATTTTTCATTGGAGCTTTAATTTTCTAACACAAGTAGTTCTTGTCCCTGGTTTTTTGAAGAACTAATTTAGATGTATATCTAAAGCTTTTCTATTTAGCAAAAACAGGCCAGTGTGTAGGTACTAGGATAGGAAACTCTACTCACACCACTGGGAAAACTCCTTTAAATGTCATGTCTTAATGATGAGAGTTCAATATTGTCACTTTCATGTGTGAAATGTGACACCATCTGTTTTTTTTAAAAAGGACCTAACTTATTCAGAATAATTGTTTTGATGTGCAGTTGATTCTACCCTGTTTTTAAATATATTTTTTTATTGATTTTTTTATTTATTTCAGAGAGTAAGGGAGAGGGAGAGAGAGAGAGAAACATCAATGATAAGAGAGAATCATTGATTGGCTGCCTCCTGCACACAACCCTCCTGCTGCCACTGGGCATTGAGCCCACGAGGGCATGTGCCTTGACCTGGAATTGAACCGTGACCTTCTGGTTCATAGGTTGATATCAGCTGGCCGGGCTATTTTAATTATTTTGGGGGCTCTATACCCGGAAGAAAAATCGTTCTTACAATTGACAGGTATAGCCTTTGAATAGAAAGTGTGTCTCAGAATAGAAAGAGCACGGTTCTGAGCTGTGTGTTCAGGAATGTATGTTTCAGAAAACACCAAAGGACAAGGGCCTCAAGACACCCCTGTCTGTCTCATAGCCCAGCTCCGGGAACCACTGTGTTCTGGACTGAGGGGCAATGTCACTGTCTTGTTAATGGGAATCTGTAGGGCTGGGACCATCCCTCACAATGAGTATGAAAGCCAGGAAGGCCTCCTCACCAGAGGAAAATAAGGGATTCCTACCATTCCTGTGGAAGCCCTGTAGGAAATAATGCATCATGCGTCATGAGAACAGCGCACTGCTATCCATTTATGACATGATGGAATAGATGAATGAAGGTTTCCTGCAGTCCTGGGAACTCTAAATGGCAGAAGCCACGTTGTTTACGAAAAGAATGCTTGAAAGAGACTTTGGGGGCTGATCGACTCAGGCAGCCTCATGTTTTGAACCCATAATAAAAATGGGAATTGGAGTTCGATTGGTGCTTCTTGAAGAAGTGAGACCAAAGAAAGAAACCTGGGGTATTTATAGCTTCCTCTTTGAACTCTAACCCAACGTGCTGGGAAGGATAGAAAACTGTGATGACTCTATACCTCAGTGTGTGATGTCTTCTATTCACAGTGAGGAATTAAAGCGTAGTTAGTGCTTTAAGAGAGATTTTTAAGTTACATAGTAATATCCTCTTAACAGGATATATGGAATATTTAATGTCATATCTTCATTTTAGGGCATTTACACAGACTTAGTTTGTAATTTACATCAGTTTACATTGCATTCACAAAATAGGGCTAATTTGATCAATTGTTTATGTGTTTGAGAATGTGTGGTCTAATATCCTGTAATGTTTTGTTGATTTCTTTATTGATTAAGTTATTACATATGTGTCCTTATCCCCACATTACCCCCCATTCCTCCCACTCATGCCCTCACCCCCCTGTTGTCTGTGTCCATTGGTTAGGCCTATATGCTTGCATATAAGTCCTTTGGTTGATCTATCCTGTAATATTTATGTGCATGTATATGTGTATGTATAGGGTATCCCAAAAAATGCATTGCAACTTTAAAAGATAGCTCAATTGTTGTTTCTTTCATTTCATATTTAATTCATTGGAATTAATAATGGGTTAAAAGTGTGTGTACATTTTCTTGGGATATCCTGTATACATACACAAACACACACGCATGCATGCACACGCACACACACATACGTACACACATGCTCATAAATACACACAGAATTCAGTTAGACATAGCAAGCTTCTATTGCTGACTCAATGCACGTGGTGTGAATATATCTGTCTGGGTTAAGTAAAAGGGCTAATATTCTGTGGTCAGGACGAAACTAAAATATTGTTTATGGTGGAATAGAACTGAACTTCCCGGCTTGGCTTCGCCCCTGTTCGGTGAATGCCTGCCTCCATCATTATCACTGTAGGTCCGTGTACTATAGGTCCACACTCCCTGGACACGATGCGGTCATTCACTTTGTCTCAGAAATCCAGAATTTGAGAGATGGCCCTTCAGCAGAAGAGGATGCGAAATATCTTCAAAGACAGACAGGGATTCCCTCAAGTTTATGGCAGCCATTAGGCCTGTACTTTTCTTTCCCCATTATTAGATTGTTGTTGATTACAATTAGGGAACTTATAGCTTTGAAATTATCTTTTTTATGACCTTGTGGCAGTTTAAAGGTGATACCTCATTGATTAAATAGGTTTTAGTTCATGCTTCCTTTTACTTAATGACCTGAAAACATATTATCCTGATTTACACATAAAATCATGCTGAAAAGCATGTGGCATTCACGAGAATATGTGTGTTTAAGTAGAATTAAATTAGTACTGAGAGTTATTAAAGAAATCTTCCATGGCTTTGTCCAGTGAACTGTGTTTCAAACCGAAATGAATAATAAATGAACCGAAATGTACAGAAGCGAACCAACTTATGGGCAGAGAAGGCTCTATATGCTATTTACTTTTCATTACATTCGGGTTGTTATCATTATTGCCATTTACTTGGTTTCAGTATTAGATCTCTTTTATGGTGATGTTGAATTCCTACCGTCTTGCTATGTTGGATTATGCATGATTTGTAATGATTATACTCTTAGCCATGCTGTATTCTCCATGTAGTTTAAAACATAATAGAAGGTTTGGGTAAAACAAAAATGCTGATTTTTTTTCTTTATCAAAGGGTTGCTATCAAACATAGCCTGGAAAACCTCCTTTACTCCCTGGGTCTGGCCAGATCCTACTCACTTGGTTAGGTGTCAACTTAGAAATTGGTCCATCAGAAAGTCATCTTTCACTAAGCGAGGCAGGGATGGGGCCAGTCTGTGTCCCGCGGTCGAATCACATGTTATTGAGGTACCTGTCTGGCCAGTCACAGGTCACAAGATCCTACACAACAGGATCTTATCTGCATGTTTATCTTCAGCACCTAGACCAACCCTGACACATGGTAGGTGTATGACGAACAGTTGGTGAGAGAATGAATAAATAAATCAGTTGCGAGAGCTTAATTACCAGATTTAGATGGAAGAGTGTCATTGGTCAGGCCTGCCCAGGCCTCATGGTCTCCCTGAGCGACCTTATATTTATCAAGCTGTGGAAAACATGGCCAGCTCAGCACACTGTCGTCCAGTGTAGGAAGGCTTAGCCATCAGATGCTAGGGGACCAGGCTGTCAGGAGGGCAGGCTTATGGAAGGTAAGAATACTCTCAAATTGCATCAGCTCCTTACGCTAGGAAGCCTTCCCTATAGTGGTTACTTCTCTTAACACTAGCATAGGATGAAACAGGATGAACAGACCTTGGTTTGTATAGAAATTTAGAAAAGGAGAGAGAAAGGGACATGGTAGGAAACATTTTATGCTTTTTATCATCAGCCAGTTGTTGGTTATGAAACATACTTGATAATAGCTTTCTGTATTTTTCTAATGAGAAGAAATATAATTAGTGTACTATTTCTCATATACCAGTGATACCTCAATAAAGCCAGGCTTAAAAAACAAACAAACTAAAGTTCAACAGTATCTAATGTCACAGCCTACTTGACTCTATCAGATCTTCCTGTTTTACTTTGGACCCCCCCCCCTTCCGAGATAGAGAGAGAGAGAGAGACACACACACACACACATGATTAAACAGTCTGATAATCATGGGTTATTTTGAAGATGGGAATGAAGGCAAGTGAAATCATGAAACCAGTAGCTCAGCACACATATAGTGACACATCACAAATAGCACACATTGTTTATTTTTAAAAATTCATTTGAAATATGTTTTGGGACGCTGGAGGAGATGTTTTCTTTCCCCATGTCTGTGTATTCAGGTTTTGGTATTTCTACAATAGCTATATTTTTAGGTTGTTTGTAATAATATAATGTTCCTAGTTAGCACTAAGATCCTCTTAAAAATGAAGAATATACTGAAACTGAGCTCTTGAATAGCATTATGGCGCGGGTTCAAGAGTTCTAGGAAAAGAATTTTAAAAAAATAAAAACGGAATCCAAATGTTAATCCATAAATATGAAACTTTCCTGTGACCTTTACCCCCTCAAGGTCCGAAGTTACTAATGGGGTTAGGATTTCAACTCTTAATGGGGGCTCTCGGTGCATTAGTGTTTTGCATGCATGGAATTCAGCATTCGGTTTAATAAGTGGTTGACATTGGTGATGTCCCTTAATTTGCTTAAATCTAATTGGCTCTTTTATCAGTCAAACCTGTATGGATTGGGGATTGATCAGAAAGCATCAGCCATGACTCTGCATGTAGTTAAACGATGGAGCCACCAGTTAAAGCCCCCGTTGCATGATAATAAGCAAAGGTAGAGCAAATAAGCTTAGGGGAGGAAGGCAAGGAGGCTTCCAAGTTTTGCAGGATCTTCAAGTTCAGAGCAAAGGCATTATCGAGTGTATAAATTTTAAATACACTGCGTGTTGCCTCCAGACTTAAACCTTTTTTTTTCCCGATGAACTGAAATGTTGTCTGAAACTGTCTTTGTTACATCAAAGAACTACTCAGAGAGCTAAGAGAGACAGAAGAAGCATAAAAGGGCATAGTT